TATATAAAATGATTTTATAAAATTTTATTAGATTTATTTGGACATCTAATTTAATTTTATGAGTTTTAGAAAATATTTACTGCCGTAGTATTTTTCTAGAACTGTCTGGGGTGAGCGCGGTTCACCCGGTGTATGTATATCTCTATTGCTTGTGTGGATGTATGATATGCATGGTGGATGATTGTGGCTATAGTTTATTTGATTATAATACGGCCTGCGTGTCGTGCCTTATCTCTTAAACTCTTGTTGTAAATCTATTTCTCTCTCTTACCTCAACCGAGGATTCTTTTCTCACGTGGTGGTTTGAAGACGAAAAGTTTTGAAGACCGTTTGGAGAAATCTAAAAGAATGGAGATAGCCCGAAGTCCAAGTGCCCGGAAGCCAGTGGGAGCTATCGTTTTATTTTTCTTTTAGGGGCCACAATCATTACACGTTTATTTACTGCGTTTTGTGAATGCAGGTTGAATGTATGTTGAACGCTAGTAATGGACATGTGCGCGGCCATGTCGATAGGTGAGATCGAAATTATAAATCCCTCACGAATATTAAGTCTGTTGCCTTCTAACGCCCGGCACCTATCCGGCTAATGTGCACTGTCATGCACTCAGCCTCAGCAGAGCATAGTACGATGTATGTTAAGCTGGTTACGGGAACCGTCATAGCGTGGTCGCTGTCGCACGTTGGGTTAGACTTAACTGAGTTTCGGTCAAATGGATGGACGACTCAGAGGCAGTAAGTTGGGGTCATCAATGACAAGTCGGATGATTTTACTCACTCATCCAACCAGGAGTTAGATCTTTATGATTTAATTGGAACTCTGTTCCTAACCAAAGTAGTCTGCTTGTAAGACGTGCCTATGGTGAAAAGGTGTCTTGGTCCGATTGTAGTAATATTGTTCGCCCAACACCAGACCAAGAGCTGAGAGCCCGGCTCATCAGTTGGAACTATGTTCCTACCTAAATAGTTGTCTTGTGGAGTAATGCCCAAGCGGAACGCAAGATAATGAAATATGGATCTTGGCCCACTAGAGGTTTCGCCGGAAATCTCCGAATCAATATCGAGGGTTATTGATTTGTTAAAAATAGTGGGAGATAATTAATTAAAGGCCTAATTAATTATTAAACATGATAGATAACCTATTTTGCAAAATTTTTGTAGATGGCAAACAACAACAACCCTTTCAACCTGCGATATGTTCTAGAAAAGGAAAAATTATCTGGAACTAACTTTCTTGATTGGGAGATGAATCTTAAGATTGTTATCGAATGCGAGAAAAAGCTTTACGTCCTAACATCTGAGCCTCCCAAAGCTCCTGAAGCGAATGCCCGTGCTGCAGAAATTACTTAGTACCGGAAATATGAACATGACGCACGTGATGTGAGATGTCTCATGCTAGCCACCATGACCCCGGAGCTCCAAAGGCTCCACAAGGACATGGAAGCTCATCCTATGATGACTCGCTTGAAAGGTCTATACCAAGGCCAGGCTAGACATGAGCGTTTCAAAATCTCTACGACTCTGTTTTCCAGTAAGCTGGCAACAGGTAACCCAGTTGGTCCCCACATTCTCAAGATGATCGGTCAGATCGAAACTCTTGAAAAACTGGATGCCCCGTTGCACCCTATGCTGGCAACTGATCTCATCTTGGGATCATTACCAGCTGAGTATAGTCAAACTGTAGTGAACTTCTACACGAACAAACTAGAGATGACTATGCCTGAGCTACTGAAATTCCTCACACCTGCTGAGGAGAGTCTAGGGAAGGGCAAGGGTAAGTCTCTCCTGATGGTAGAGGGCAGTACTGTTGCGAAGAAGAGTGGGCCACGTTCGCCGGCCGGGACCAAGCGCAAGGGTTCTAAGAAACCCAAGCCAGCGTCCAACTCCTCTTCGTTGAAACCCAAAGAAGGAGTTAAGAAGAAGTCTGCTGTATGCTATTACTGTGGCAAAAAGGGCCACTGGAGGCGCAACTGCGCAAAATTACTGGCAGAGAGGAAAGAGGGAAAGAAACCTCAAACCTCAGGTATCTTCGTTATTGAAGTCAATATGTCTGATATCACCTCTTGGGTGATGGATACTGGATGTGGTTCTCACATCTGTACTTCTATGCAGGATCTGCATGAATGTAGACAATTGACGGAGGGAGAGATACAACTAAAAGTCGGCAATGGCGCACTCGTAAATACATTAGCCGTCGGAACCTATAGTTTATCTCTACCTAGTGGTCTTATATTGCATTTGAATAATTGTCTGTTTGTACCTAGTATGAGCAGAAACATCATTTCTGTATATCCTGCCTTGACAAAGCAGGATTTTCGTTCGTTGTAAAAGACAAAACTCTTTCTGTCTTTAGAAATGATATATTTTATGCAAGTGCAAAAATGACCAACAGTCTCTATGTCCTTGACATGGATACCGTAATATATAACGTAGATGTTAAGAGAAACAAACCTAACAGTTTGAATCTCGTGTACCTTTGGCATTGTCGTTTGGGCCACATTAACGAGAAACGCATATCTAAGTTACATCGTTCTGGTGTACTTGATTCATTTGACTTCCAGTCATATGATGTATGTAAATCTTGTTTACTTGGTAAAATGACAAAGGCTCCATTCACCGGTCACGGTGAGAGGGCGAGTGACTTATTGGGCCTCATACACTCCGATGTCTGTGGTCCAATTAGCACTGTAGCTAGAGGTGGTTATTCTTACTTCGTTACATTTACTGACGACCTTAGTAGATATGGATATGTGTATCTCATGAAACACAAATCGGAATGCTTTGACAAATTCAAAGAATTCAAGAACGAAGTAGAAAAACAATTAGGCAAAAGTATTAAGACCCTCCGCTCGGATCGAGGAGGTGAATACTTAAGCCTGGAGTTTGATGACTATCTGAAAGAGCATGGGATCTTATCCCAACTCACTCCTCCGGGGACACCTCAGTTAAATGGAGTGTCTGAGAGGAGAAATCGGACTTTGCTAGACATGGTCCGGAGCATGATTAGTCTGACAACATTGCCAGAATCATTTTGGGGATATGCATTGAAAACAGCAGCACACACACTCAACAGAGTTCCATCTAAAGCTGTCGAGAGCACACCATACGAACTATGGCGTGGGAGAAAACCGAGTTTCTCGTACTTTAAGATTTGGGGCTGTGAAGCTTATGTAAAACGTCTCATGACGTCTAGTAAGTTGGAGCCTAAATCTGATAAAGTAATTTTT